TTTTTTTTAAAGACAGTGTCTTCCTCCGTTTCCCAGTCTGGAGTGCAGTGGCGCCATCTTGGCTCACTGCAAGCTATACCTCGGGGTTTAAGTGATTCTTTTGCCTCAGCCTCCTAAGTAGCTGGGACCACAGCGCACATCACCACAGCTGGCTTTTTTTTTTTTTTTTTTTTTTTTTTTTTTTTTTTTTTTTTTTTTTTAGTGGAGATGGGGTTTCACCACGTTGGCCAGGCAGGTCTCAGACTCCTGATCTCAGGTAATCCACCTGCCTCAGCCTCCTAAAGTGCTGGGATTACAGGCATGAGGAATTTACTAGAATAATATTATTTTAAACATTTAAAATTGACATACATATTACATCATCGGGAATTAGATGCATTGATAAGAGGGTGATGAAAAATGTAAAAAATAGATACCAGTGTTTAAATATCTTAATTTCTTCATCAGATAAAAATTTCCAGTGGGCGAATACTGGAGCGGCTGTGTTTGGAACACAATCAGTTGGAACCCAGTCAACCGGTAAAGTTGGTGAAGATGAAGATGGTAGTGATGAAGAAGTAGTTCATAATGAAGATATTCATTTTGAACCAATAGTGTCACTACCAGAGGTAAATGTTAAGGAATTAAACTTTTACTAATAAATTATTTTTCATTTTTAAGTTTAAAACTTATCCTGGCTTGATCTGTCAGGATATGTATCATTGTTTGCATATCTTTAAGAATGTTTACAATTTGAAACAGAAGCTCTATTTATTAGACATCCAGCCGTTAAGTATAAATTCTCTTTCTGATGTTTTTATATAAATATTGCTTTGTAAATTCTATATGTAATTGTTGGGAGGAAATAATTTTTTCATATGGTGCTAGAATATCATGTTTGTTTTTATAACATGATTCTGTGGAAAAAGTAAACTCATACTTGCCAAAGTCCTTTTAATAAACATAAACTTGTATGTTTTTTGGACAAGAACATTGCTCTAGGAAAACTATTTTGTCATTTTTTTAACCTCAGTCAGTAGCTGATACTTCTTTTCAATAGCAAACACTTTTGAAACCTCTCTGTCCTATAATGAAAAGCATTTAATTTCCAAAAGAACGAATACTACATGAAAGAAAATATGTAATGACAAATCAGGTCTTTACACTCTCAGCCAAATCAGATACCTTCCTAGCCCTAAGATATATAACCGATTAACATCATATTACAAATTCTGTTAGTTATTGCAAAGAAAATACCTTAAAAAGAAATTGGGTCTTTGGAATTTGTCATGGAATTTATTATAAGCAGCAGCTTATAGTAGAGAATTTCATCTACCATTATAGGTAGAAGTAAAATCTGGAGAAGAAGATGAAGAAATTTTGTTTAAAGAGAGAGCCAAACTTTATAGATGGGATCGAGATGTCAGTCAGTGGAAGGAGCGTGGTGTTGGAGATATAAAGATTCTTTGGCATACCATGAAGAATTATTACCGTATCCTAATGAGAAGAGACCAGGTTTTTAAAGTGTGTGCAAACCACGTTATTACTAAAACAATGGAATTAAAACCCTTAAATGTTTCAAATAATGCCTTAGTTTGGACTGCCTCAGATTATGCTGGTGAGTTTCTACATCAATTGCTGCTTTTCTTTTTTTGGACTTTTCTAAAATCTATAATAAAGCAACTTATAATAGTTATTTTACTAAGGTCACTCTTTCCCGTTTCCCTGCCTAATAGATGGAGAAGCAAAAGTAGAACAGCTTGCAGTGAGATTTAAAACTAAAGAAGTAGCTGATTGTTTCAAGAAAACATTCGAAGAATGTCAGCAGAATTTATTGAAACTCCAGAAAGGACATGTGTCACTGGCTGCAGAATTATCAAAGGAGACCAATCCTGTGGTATTTTTTGATGTTTGTGCGGACGGTGAACCTCTAGGACGGATAACTATGGAATTATTTTCGAACATTGTTCCTCGGACTGCTGAGAACTTCAGAGCACTATGCACTGGAGAGAAAGGCTTTGGTTTCAAGAATTCCATTTTTCACAGAGTAATTCCAGATTTTGTTTGCCAAGTAGGTATTAACTACATATCACAGTTGAGGTCTAGAAGAGTGTACCACACTAACTTGGGAAATTTAAGTGTTTTTCCTTGACCTCATCCTGTAGTTTTTAAGATTTCTTTAGGTTTTTCACACATTAGTTGGTATCACTACCCATTCCCTGCTCCTTCCTAAAACTTTCAACCTAAAATAATTTAGGCCGGGTGCAATGGCTTATGCTTGTAATCCCAGCACTTTAGGAGGCCAAGGTAGGCAGATTGCTTGATCCCAGGAATTTGAGACCAGTCTGGGCAATTCTTGTCTGGACAAAACATAAAAAATTAGCCAGTCGTGGTGGCATGTGTCTGTGGTTCCAGCTATGTGGAGGCTGATTCAAACTTTTAGTACTTAAGACTTACCAGAGACTAAGGGATGAGAAAAACATCTCTTTATTTCTCATCATCTTTTCAACAATACGAATTTCTTAGTTTTCAAATTGCATACTCAGGAAAGCTGGGCTTTGGGATTTATCCTATAGTGATCAGTTCTATGTGTATTTTAATGTTTTACTCAGGATTTCTATTAATTGAAATTTTTTTAAAATAAATTTTTATTAATCTCTTTTTCAGGGAGGCGATATCACCAAACATGATGGAACAGGCGGACAGTCCATTTATGGAGACAAATTTGAAGATGAAAATTTTGATATGAAACATACTGGTCCTGGCCTACTATCCATGGCCAATCGAGGCCAGAATACCAATAATTCTCAATTTTTTATAACACTGAAAAAAGCAGAACATTTGGACTTTAAGCATGTAGTATTCGGGTTTGTTAAGGATGGCATGGCTACCGTGAAAAAGATTGAATCATTTGGTTCTCCCAAAGGATCTGTTTGTCGAAGAGTAGCTATCACAGAATGTGGACAGATATAAAATCATTGTTTTTCATAGAAAATTTTATCTGTATAAGCAGTCAAAGCTTAGCTATTACAATTTGGTAATTATGTTCAGCTTTTGAAAATGGACGTTTCTGATGTACAAATGTAAAATTGCAGCTTATAGCTGTTGTCAACTTTTTAATGTGTTACAGTTGACCTTGCATGGTGTGAAATAAAAGTTTAAACACTGGTGTATTTCAGGTGTACTTGTGTTTATGTACTCCTGACATTTGTATTAAAATGGAATGATACTAATCTTGTTTAAAGCAATAGGACTTCTCAAACTATTGAAGGAATATGATATATACAATTTAATTTTAATTTCTCTTAAGATATTTGGACTTCCTGCATGGATATGCTTAACCATTTGAATAAAGGGACCACAGCTTGGATAATTTTATTTTAGATTTGAAATATATTTGGTAATCTTAACTATTGGTGTACTCAATTATGCATAGAGACTCATTTATGAATGGGTGGAGCCACAGAACTATAGAGTTAACCGAAGTGCTCTTCTCTAGAATCTTTACACCTCCTGTGTGGTTACAAGTTAACTTTTTAAGTAGAGTACCTTCCTTCCTTAAAATATGTAGCTTCCTGTTCCTTTTCATGGGTATTCAATTAATTTTTACATTTTAAACAAATTGACTATTTCCTTTAGGAGTTTTGTTCTAAACTTTTCTGTCATCTGTCTCTACTACCTCAGAAACTGCAGCTTCTTTCTGATGATAGAAATTGATTTTTTCCTTGTAGTTATTGTGATAAAGTATGAATATTTTTAGAAAGTCTATACCATGTTCTTTGGTTAAGATTTGCTTTATAAAAGATTGTTGCAGTACCTTTTTCTGATAAATTTTGTAGCAGAAATAAAATGACAATTCATAAAAGCCATTGACATTCAAAAAATTCGTTACTTGTGCTTCTGGTTCATTCTAATCTAAAGGAAGACAATTCAAAGGCAGTACCAAACTGTCGCATGATTTCCAGAGCTCCTAGTTTCTCAACTTTGATATACACTGAAAATGTATTTGGAAATGGCTTGTATCAAATGTTAGGCAAATTGCTAAAGAAAAGAGAATGTTCTTATTGGCCTGCGCAGTATGGAACTACAAAGAATCCAGGTAGAACACAAAATTTTGTATATTGCAATTACGAATATTGACTGTCTTCCACCCATCTGTGTTCTTCCTCATGAGTGTACCTATTTTATTTAGTGAGGAAAGACAGTGAGGTTTGTTCCCTGCTATATGGGGATTTGGAAATAGGGTATCCTAAAGTAAATAACTGTTCAACCACCAGCCAAATGAGGGGAGGGATGTTGTGGGAGTAATGAGTGATGGTGTACCATCACCATTCCACTCGGCCACAAAGCCATATACCCGAAATAAACCTACTCCAAATTCATTGAACTGTGTATCAGTTCAGTCTTGAAAAGAACCATGGATTACATATGTTTACACTAAATATTTCAAATTGGCTTATTTAGAAAACTATATAATAGAAACTGATGTAAAGTGTTGTAACTTTTTAGCTGAGACGATGCCTTTGTCATGATTTTAGAATAAATTCTTAAGTAAATGCAAGTGCTTTTTAAGAGACTTTTTGCAAATTTCTATGCTTTCCTTAAAGCATTAAAGTTATGAATCAAAAAGCTTTAAAACTTTGACCAAAAATTTGACAAAATGACATGTAAACTGACTTTTCGAGTATTAGTTGGAAGATGCTTCAAAGTGGCTTGTGGCATTTATAAGAAAGTCTTTGTGTCACATTTCAGGAAAGGACTTTGATTTCTGTTACTTAATCACTGATGTGGTCTAAACCCACGATGATATGTATCTTTCTTTTTAAACTGGATTTTATATTGTCTCATTAAAATCTGCTTAAAGACAATAAAGTAATTATTTGTACATCTTAAGTGGTACTTTATGGCAAAAAGAGTATGGCTTAAGTAATTTTCAGATAGTAACTGCATAAATACAGAGTTTATAAAACTTGGGTATTTGGGAACTTTAATCCAGAGAATTTAGGAGTAGTTGGCCCAGAGATGTAGTTGACAGTCACATTTTAGAAGATTACACCACTGTAATTATATGAATGAGAAAAGTGAAGTGGTTGTACAGTTTCTCTCAGTCTTTGTTTATAGGTTTTCAGGTTGATGTATACTATGGCTAGGCACTGTTGTAGGTACTAGTAAAAGCTTTAAAAAAAATGTTTTTTTTCCAGGGAGCTTAAATTCTAATTACTAATTTTAATGCCCTGTTATACCCCATGTGGAACACAGGGAAAGTAAGGAGATAATCTTTGCAATTTTTATGCTTGGCTTTCTATTTGTTTTTCACCTTTTTAAAGAGACGCCTTGCTGTGCTAACCCAAGGTAGATGTAACTCCCAGGCTCAAAGCAGTGCTCTCGCCTCAGCCTCCCTAGCAGCCAAACTACGTGCGCGCCACCACTCCTGGCTCAGATATATTCTTGGTTTCTCTTTTATATGGCAGTTAGCAAAGGCCACTTCTGATAGAAGGACAGGTATATGTGGTGAGCGCAAACGCACATCGAACCTATAGGTTAAATGGAGCTGAAGCGGATCGCTGCAGGCAGGTGCGGGGCCTCGGTGCCCCTCCACCGGCACCCAGGCAGCCCGGGGCGGCACTCGCGTGGGGAGATGCAATGCTACTCAGTTGTGAAATCTGCAGTGCTAGCACTAGAAACCCGGAGGACGCGCGGTACGGCCAGGTTGCTTCCTCGAGGTCCTCCAGTCCCGCCCCGACCCGTCCTGTCTCTTCTTTGTCGCCGTGCGTGCCTCCGGGGGCGGGGCCTAACGTCGTGACGCACTGCGACCGCGTTGCGCCGCGGGTTTGAACGCGGTTCCCGGGGAGACCGCCGCGGGAGTGGTGCGCTATGGAGCCGAGGGTCGTCAAACCACCGGGGCAGGATTTCGTAGTGGAGCGTCTCAAAAGCCGCTACGGACTCGGAGGCAGCTGCCCCGAGGAGGTGAAGCCGCTGCCCCGAGGTCCGCGGGGGGGCTCCTGCTGCTGCGGGGCGGCTCGCCCGGTGCCCCGCGCAGCTGGCCTGGGGGCGCGGAGCGGCTCTAGTCCCGGCCCCCGCACGCCCTTAGTGGCCGCGGCTCAGGCCTCGTGGAAGCGGACGGGAGGGGCGGGCATTGCAGGGGCATGGGGGTGCGGGGCGCTGCTTCACCTATGCCTACTTGTCTGTGTTCATGGTACATCGGGCATGGGGTGGCGTTGGAGAAAGTATTCAGCTTATTCTTGCAGTGATGTGAATGGAGTTGAGAAAACAATTGAATTGCTTTTTAAAAGCGTCTTATTTCGAAATAATTTCAGACACGCAAAAGTTGCAGTGGTACAAATAATTTCCATATACCCTCACTTGCATTCACAGATTAACATTTTGCCACATGTACTTTACCATTCGTTCTCTTCCCGTCCTTCCCTACACACACATTTTTCCCCTTTGAACTATTTGAGGGTAATTTGCAGGCATCATGCCCCTTTACCTCTAAATAGAAATGTGTGTTTTTCCTAAGCATAAGGACGTTCTCTTTTCATAACCACAGTAGTATTTTCAAGAAATTTAGAATTGATACAACAATATTGGATAGAGTTCATACGAAATTTAAGCAATCATCTCGATAATACCTCTTATAGGCAACATTTTTCCTAGCGCAGATCCAATCCAAGAACAAAGACTGATTGCATTTGTACTTTTTGTTGCCTTTAATCTGGAACAGGTTCGCAGCCTTTGTTTTTGTAAGATTGGTTTTTTGAAAAGTGTAAGAATTAACTGGAATGCTTCTCCATTTGGGTTTATCTTATGGATGCCTCTTCATTAAATTGATTATGCATTTTTGGCAGGAGCATGAGATGAGTGATGTGTAGCCTGCTGTGGGGAGGTGCCTGACGTTGGTTTGTCACATTATTGATATTTGATCACTTGATTAAGATGGTTTCTGCAAGATTTCTCCACTCTAACCTATGCAATTAATTCATAATTTGTGGGGCAATATTTTGAGACAATAAAGTCAGTATATAAATTAAATATCTTTTCTTTTTTTTTAGTATGATTTTTCAAATTTTGATTGCTCTAAATGTAAGAGAAGATCTCTAACCTCCTCAGGTAAGCCAGTATTTTGTATATTTGGGGGTTTTAAAATTTAATTTGAGGCGGTGCATGGGGGCTCACGCCTGTAATCCCAGCATGTTGGTAGGCCATGGAGGGCAGATCACCTGAAGTCGGGAGCTTGAGACCAGCCTGGCCAGCATGGTGAAACCCCGTCTCCAGTAAAAATACAAAATATTAACTGGGCATGGTGATGGGCGCCTGTAATCCCAGCTACTGGGAAGGCTGAGGCAGGAGAATTGGTTGAATCTGGGAGGCGGAGGTTTCAGTGAGCCTAGATGGCACCACTGCACTCCAGCCTGGGCAACAAGAGCGAAAGTCAGTCTCAAAAATGAAAAAGAAAATTAATTTGAGAGCGAAAATTTAAAAACTAATATTGTTTAGACTTATGGTCAATGCCAGATATTTTGTGATATATTGTTCTGGTAATCTTTCATGGTTTATTTTTCATTGACAGATGATTTGGATATCTATTCCTCTGGAGATAAAGTTGGTTCATCATTAAAATATTATTCTGATGAAAGCAAGCATTGTAGAAAACCATTTTGCAGTTCATTCAACCATGTAAATGTGAATTGGTAAAGTACCCTGAAACCTTACTGTTACTACCCCCTCAGTATCTCAAGAAACTGAGAAAGAGAAAAGGGCAGATTATATTTTTGCTCTTTCCTGAGAGCAAGTACAAAGCAGTCTGGAGCCTGCTAAATAGTTGAAGAGACTGATTTATTAATTTTTACTGAGAATCTCTGTAATAAAAGCATAGACCTAGCATTATATTTAGTGGCATAATGAAAAGTTATTTATATAATGTAAAAGATGAAAAGAAATATTTGGCTGGGCGCGGTGGCTCAAGCCTGTAATCTCAGCACTTTGGGAGGCCGAGGCGGGTGGATCACGAGGTCAAGAGATCGAGACCATCCTGGTCAACATGGTGAAACCCCGTCTCTAC